AACAGTTTTCTTCCCATTCGTGATCCCCCCTCTCTCCTCTCCTTCCTCTAAAGATGAACGTGAAAAAGAAAATAAATTTAAAAAAAAAAAATCTGGAAAAAGATTCCGAAATAATAATAATAATAATAATAATAATAATAATAATAAAAATTGTAACATTTTTCATTTTTTTTTTTTTTCATTCATATTAACTCGTATTTTATATATTAAATTTTTTTTTACGCGCGCGCGTGTGTGTGCAAGTGCTGTTGCTGCTGCCGGAATGGAAAAAAAAGCGTGAAATGCATTTTACCCCTCATTTTTCATTTTATTTTCTCCCCAACCCACCCCCCTCCCGTCTCGTTTCCATTCGAATTGACATACAAATTGAAATAATAGAGAAATATATGAGAGTGAAATTTATAGATGATGATAAAAAAAAAAAAGCAAAACTCGTCGTAAGATGATAAAAAAACAATAAAAAAAAAAAAATTCTGGAAAAAAAAAGTTTTCCAAAAAAAAAAAATATATATATATTACTTTTGACGATGATGATGATAATAATAATAATAATAAAAATTAAATCGATAAATTTTATTTAAAAAAAAAAAAAACTATCGATTCGAGTTTAGGATGTTAATAATAATAATAAAACTTATAGAGTTACCCACCTGGAAATTCATAATCACGTATGATTTTCTCTTTTCCATCTGGAAAGGATACTTATGACGTCATGATTGACGTAAACGAATAAATATTCTTTTTAGTCCGACCTGGAAAAGCAAAAAAAAAAAAAAATTTTTTTTAATGAGAAATTAATTTAAAAAATTAAATAATCCTCCCGATGGGGATTTCAAATGAAAATTAAATTTACGCGCGTTTTTTTTTTTTTCGAAAGGGGGGTGTGATGGGAGGAGAAGTAAAATGTCCGGTGGTGGTGGGGGGAAAGGTGAAAATTAAAAAAAATAAAAAAAAAATCGTGTAGAAAAAAAAAAAAAATTACAAAACTCGTGGAATTTGTGAAAATCTGTCGACACGTTTATTTATTAATAAAACTTGTTGAAAAAAAAAACTCATTTGTTCGTAATAATAATAATAATAATAATAATAATAATGATAATAATAATAATGATAATAATAATAATAATAATATTAATGATAATAATGATAATAAATAATTTTTTTTTTCGCGTGAAAATTTTAAATACCTGGAAAAAAAAAATTTGTAGGAAAAGTTTCGGTTTGGAATGATAAAATGCAATTAATTTTTTTTTTTTTTGTAATTTTTTTTACCTTTTGTATTAAAGACGATAAATTTTCTCAGCCCCCCTTCCCCCAACCAACCATTTCACTTTCATTTCCTTCCTCTCCCGTACGCCCCCCCCCCGCCAAAATAAAAACAAAAAAAATTTTTTATTATTAAATGAAAATAAAATAAAATAATAATAAAAAAATTTTGTTTTTCTTTTTGTTTTGATTTATATTTGATAGCAAATTTTTAGAGAGAGAGAGAGATAGAGAAAAAATTTCTTTCTCACTCTCTCTCTCACTCACTCACTCTTTCTCTTTTATTCATCGTTTGTTGTTGTTGTTTTTGTTATACGTAAACGAGGTTACAAAATTTTCCTTTTTTTTTTTTTTAAATAAATGAGATGAACGAGATATCCTGCGAAATTTTTTTTTAAATTCAATTAAATAAAAGTTTTTAATCTGACCAATAGTCTTTATTATTATTATTATTATTATTATTATTATTATTATTATTATTATTAGTACGGAAGTTTCTAGAAAGAAAATTCCAAAAAAAAAAAAACTTTTATAAAACAAATAAAAATACGATAAAAAACTTTTTTCTTTTTAAATGGGTTGAAATTTTTAAAAGTTGAAAAGCAGAAAACAAAAAAAAAAAAAAAAGAAGAAATTTCAATTTTACAAGTAAAAAAAAAAAAAAAAAAAATTCAACGACGGCCATTTTGAAAAGGTAATAATTAATAAATAATAATAATAATAATAATTTTTAAAATAAATAAATTTTTTTGTTTTAATTTTTTCCTCATCTTCCTCTTACTCCTCCTCACCTCTCCCCTCATTTTCCTTCACTCCCCGGTTAAAAAAAAAGAAAAATTTTAAGTTATATAAAAAAAAATTAAATTAAAAATTAAAAAAAAAAAAAAATTTTTTGGCGGAAAAATAATTTAAAAATTTTCCTTAAAAAAAAAAAAGACAAAATAAAACGGGGAAATTTTTTTTTTCCTTTTTTTTTTTGTATTATTAATGACTGGAGGAAAAATAAAAAATAATTTAAATTTTTTTTTTTTTTTTTACTTAAAAATTATTAATAAAAAAAAAATGGCATTAATAAATCAAAGTTAACAAAAAAAAAAAAGAAAATTATATTAACGTGGCAGAAGACAAAGGGAAAAAAAAATTATTTATAATGAGAAAAAAAGAAAAAATTTTTTTAAAAAAATAGTTTTTCCTAATTACACGTTTATTTTAATTTTTTCTCCCCTCCCCTTCCTCCTTCCTCCCACTTTATCTAACTTTAAATTTAAGAAATAATTATTTTATTTATTAAACGATGGGCCGTAATAAATAATAATAATAATAAAACGAAAATTTTTTTAATTGAAAATTTGAAAAACCGACGACGATAGGAAAATTCACTCGTATCCGGTAATGAGATTTTTTTTTTTTTTTTATTAAATATAATTAAAAATTTGAAAAAGTTATCATTATTATTATTATTATTATTATTATTATTATTATTTTCTTAAAATTTTGAAAAACGAGTTCCAAAACTTTTTCTTTTTTTTTTTTACACCTGGAAAAAACTTTGGAAAGGGAAAAGAAAAGAAAAAATCCTGAGGGGTCTTAACGTTTCGAATCGAAGAAAAAAAAATTTTTTTTTTTTTTAATTATTTTCAACGAATTTTATTATCACCGATAAGAAATGATAACGAATATAATAATAATAATAATAATTGTATATATACGTCATCAATCCTATCATAAATTAAACGTGATGATAATAATAATAATAATAAACGAACGTAAGGATTAAAAATAAATGAAATCCGATTGCATTCGAGAACAAAAAAAAAAAAAAATTTACGATTGTCTCAATTATGGAAAAGCTATATAATATGGGAGAGAAAGAGAGAGGGGGGGGGGTGAGAGAGAGAGAGAGATAGAAAAAATTGTTTTTTTACGATCCATAAATTTAATTTTTTTAAAAAAAACT